AGGGGTCTGAAGCATGCTACAATGGGTGATCTGTTTGAGCAAAACACACATGTTTTGTATAGATATGGCCTTATAATATATTGTTCAAATATAGCATAATAGGGTAGCTTTAAGACTGAATGTGGAGAAGTCTGTTTTCAGTGCAACGAGCCAATGTCAGTCTGATCAACAGTAATGTAGTTTGTCGGCAGGTCTTGCACGTGGGTAAGTACGTCAGATATATGATGCCATCTTTTTAAGGTTAAAAAATAGTCTGCTCATTTTATCACCCTGGTCCATCACTTGTTTACAATATAATTGGTCCTTTGACTCTGCGTAGAAAGACGTGTCCTCATAATGTCCTCCAGTCTCCAGTGTTGACTGTTTGTCCCCACAGTTCACTTGATAGAACTTTTATAACGAGGTCACTGTGACGCGCACACACACACAGAGGATTACTCATATTAACAATACACACTTAATAAAGACAAAGGCCTCATCAAGACAGGTAGTGCAGTGATCTGTGGCCTCACAGTGGATCCAGGCCTTGATTTTAGAAAAGTCTGTCTGGAATTCCTAATTTGCACGTTTCTTGGCTGGTCTCCTAAAGAATGAAATAACTGAATCTCTCTCAAAGTGTTTGTGAATGACAGGGAGTTTCTTTCCATCACAATCTAGCCATTGACCCTGAAACCTTGAATTAAGACAAACAAATTGACGTTTTAATTACTCTTTATTACAATAGGCCTGTCTTCAATGACACCAAATAAAATCAACATGTAATAGTGCGTAACGAATAGAAACCAGAAACAAGTAGAAAAGTGACTCTTGTAGGAGCAGATGAGAGGCAGGAGGGAGGAGTGTAGACAGGTGGGGGGGGCTCAGGCGCTGGTTTTCTTGGGTCTGCCTCTGGACCTCAGGGCAAGTCCGGGGGACGTCTGGGTGCCCATCTCCACCAGTCTGGATTTGGGGTCCCCCACTTTGCCAGCGCCGCATACCTTCTTTGGTCCAGCAGTTTTTGCGGGACTCTTCTTCACCCCGTTCACTTCTGCAGGGGAGACCATCCTGTTACACTGAGGCTACATAAAGCCCCTTCAAACACACCAGCTTCATGTACATTGTATGTTTCATTATGTGTACACTGCTTGATGCTATCTATGTGCTTGTCTTCTGTCTCGGCTTCCTTGTTCGGAGCTGCCACGCTTGCTCTGTAAGTAAAGTCATTTCTTGTTGTAATAGCTAGCATGACGCTATCTCAGAGATCTTTAGCATTCAGCCCATTGAGCATGGAATATAAAGCATGTTTTACTTATGCTATAAAAACATCCCCAGAACAGGAAACTACAAAGAGAAATGGCATATACTGAACAGAAATGTTGTCCCATACATTACATGTCCTTTGGCCGACTTTGGTCCTGACTAAGATATTGAATCTATTCTTCAGATGGATTGCCATCCCAGTTTTAACAGTCCTTCCTCAGGGTGTCATCACTCTGCGATCCTCTGACTTTTTATCCAGCGCCACTGTCTAGTCAACATTTAAATCTGTTCAATACTTTTGATTTGTTGTTGTATTCATTTCCCTGGACAGTTAGACATGTTGTTGTATCGTTGTGCCATCTCTCCCTAAATACTCATTTAATAAATACATTGTAAGTGAATGAGCTCAGATATATCCGATACCTTTTTTCTTTGCGACTCTCTTTTTCTTGATGGGTTGTCCATCTGTCTCATTCTCCTCCTCCTCCTCTTCAGCTGCGGCTTTCTTTCTCTTAGTGGTTTTCTGGAAGGAGAAGAATAGAACAAAATGATGAGTGGACATTAGGTGAACATGGACTTTAGTATGTGGGAGTTACTTTGAATGAGCTGCACCCATTGTTCAGAATACACAGAACGCATTTATCTAACATCTGATCCCCTCCTGTAGCTGAGCAGGAGACGGCTGGTCCCACATTCAATGCTCCTTCAAAATAAAACCGCTATAAAGGGGATAGCATGTAAAGTACAACACAGTCCTTTCAATGTTGAATGAAGACGTTTTTCGTTTTTAACTAAAAACAAAAAGCAGTGTGTTTGGTGAACCTCTCAAGGCCTTCAGAGTCGTGAAACACAGAGAGAAACTTTGACTTGGTGATAGGAATGGGTATTAAAGGGGCCCCAGGGCTGAATTATTAAAGGCTGTGGTACCGTTAAGCTCCGACCTTATCGGTATTTTTATCGGTACTGGAGACATTTAAAAAATGATATGTCATATGTATTATGCTACATAACCATTACATTGCAGTTTTAGTTTCGCCAACTCCGTTTCTGATATGCAATAAGACTAAAAAATGCGTCTATGATGTATTTTCGATCTTTCCAATCCAGACGAGATCTCTCTCTGCTGTCTGCTTGCGAGCGGGCGGGCGGGGCGGTTTACACACACGCGGCTGCTACATGCAACACACACACACACGGCGGAGAGAACTAAGCGCTCCGAGGTGTGGTTAAACTTTACCCGTCTCGATGTGGACAATGCTCGTTACCAAAAGTGCAATAAGAGTTTAGCATGTAAGGGCGGTAACACGAGCAATTTGTCTAAACATTTAGCAAAAGTGCACCACATTCAGACGGAGGAATGCACCTGGTTCGACTGTCTTTCTAGTAGCTCTGTAGCCCTATCCAAGAGTAAATTTTCCACGTCAGGTATGTTATGTATCCTTAATCTTCCTCCAGAAGAACCGTTAGGCCTTTTGCAGCATACCTGTATGCCCCACCTGTGTTGCTCTGTACCACTGTATTTTTGCAGTAAATACTTGTTTTTTGTTTGTTTTTCACAGATCTGTAAGTTCACATTATTTACAATTTGTTTAGTTAATTTACCTTTTTTTCTTCTTCACAAGAACCGATAAGAGTACCGTTAAAGGAACGGATTGATAAGCGGTATCGATAAAAGTAGTAGTACCGTTAAAACCTTAACGATGCCCATCCCTACTCGGTGATGATGCCACAGGACTTCTTCCTCCAGGCTTCTGTTTGTAAAGTCTCACCCAGCAGTAACACCTTCAGATATGAATCATAGATTCTGTATATATAAATGGACGTAGTGTCCGTGACGTCACCCATAGGATTCTGCAGAGTTGCCGAGAAGCCCTTAGTAGGCGGAGTCGGCCACTAACGCTTGACAGCGACGTCAGAGTCTAATCCCGCCTGCTCCAAATAA